CTAGCGTCTTAAGAGGAATTTTATAAGAGAAGTATTGTTACTATAACATTTCTGATATTTTTAATAAATAACCCAATACGTAAATTAAGGACAAAATATTTTCCTTGCTGTACACCAGCTTGCTGTTGTCACTCCTTTTATCTGCGTTTCCTTTTATTGCTTCTGTACCAATACAGCAAGGAAACTGAAGCATTGTATCTGCCTGCGTTTGGTATTATTTTCCTTACTAGTTTCTCTTGAGACAAAATCATAATGGAAGACAGAGGCAGAATATATTAAATTTCCCTGAGTGTATTAAATTTCTTTTAGATATATTACTTTAATTTCCTTTATATCCTCTAGACATAATTTCTTCTAGGTGTTAGCACATGGACATTGTTTGCAAAGATGACCTAGATAATATTTTTAATTGTGTTTTACTGTACTAAGCGATCCTATTAATTTGAGATAACTAATGGAATAGAGAACCTTTAGGCTTTCCTTTGAGAATTGTTTGCTGTGAGGAAATTCTCTTTTGAGTATGGTCTTTTGAAACTGGAGATTTTACCTTGAGCTACCTGGAGAGTTCTCCTTTACAGGTTTTAAAATGTTGAATGAAAACATGAAGTAATGGATGAACAAATGAGTAGGCCGTGCTCCTTGCTCAAAGCTTCTAGGTCTTGCTTCACTCTCACATGAGTGTATTTTATTTACAGACTTAGGGCACTCAGCATTGCGGATGGAGTTTCTGCAATGCAGAAATTTGGATTTGTAGCTGGAACCCATTTGAAAGCCTGAAATCACTTCAGTGGGGCTTTGTTCAACTGCCTAGCCTTTATGTCTCCGTGTGTGGGTGGGTCCACTGAGAGAAATTCCCCTGGCTCTTCCTTGTGCTTCCCTTGACAGCTTGACCAGCAGACTAAAACACCGAGTCACTCATTCTTGGGCAGCAATCCTAGTTGGAGAGATGAAGCAAGCCTCATGGTCAGGCCTAGGTCATTCTTTTGAGGCTGAGAGCAGCAAAATAGAATAGCAAAGAATCGCTGAATTAAAAATGGTTCACTATACAACTTAGAGCAACCAGGGAGCAGATTTGGCAGTATCTCTGGTAAAAGATTCTGTGGTGACAGTAACACAATTTAAAGCATTTCCTTATGACATGATTTACCTGAATTAATGTCTACATTGGCAATCAAGCCTTGATTGCCTCCTATTCATTAGCCTTTGATTTAATTAATAAGACTTGTTAAAGAGGAATCTTCAATGTTTTCCTGTAAACAGCTCTAATTTATTGATTCAATATGAATTCTGTAATTATTTAAGGTACTTAATGTTTGAATTATACATTTTGAACTTTTGATAAAATAGCTTAAATCCACAAAGTAAAGAAAGATACAATCTTCATTTTGTTTTTCATTCAATAATAGCTATCCTCTTTTAAACCTCTAAAAATTGAGGTTCTGTTAATCAATTACTAACTTTGTCATTTCAGTTCATGCTAATGATTGACAAATGCTATAATGTTATTTTTTCCAAAGGTACCTTTTCCATAGATGAACCAGTGATTTAACATTTTTACAAGATTTTTAAAACTAGGGAAGTCAGTAGGTGGAAAGTGGCTAGACAGGAAGAGAAAAACTAATTAAGGAAAGAGAAAGTCACAGTGACTCTTAGGTTAAAAGAGCAATTTGATAATCAATATGATTCTTAATGGGAAACCAATGAAGCAATTGAAGAAGAGGGAGATGCTGATTGGTGGACTATGCACAGATTAGTAAGGACGGTGAGTGTGTTAAAACATGTCTTTTGGGTGCAAAAAGGTTAATTAACAAAGCATTCTATAAATTATACAACCTGAAAGAAAGGGAAATTGCTATATCTGTATACTTCAAAAATAAAAAGACTATACCTTTAATTTGAAAAAATGAAAATAAAGAACTATTTAAACCAAACATAAAGAAAATGTTAAAAGATTTATAATTTTGGAATTTCTGAAAATTTTGCAAACAGTAGTTTACATATCTCATTCATGATTTAACTTTATGGCCGTAAGTGGGGAAATGTCCATATCTCATTGACAGAATGTCCCTATCTTGTTCAATGCCCATATTTTATTAAATAAGTATCAATATTCAATGAAATATTTTGAGAGCCTTCTCTGTGCTAGGCTGGCTCTAGCTGTTGGTTATATATCGGTGAACAAAATAGAAAAACATGTCCCTTCCCTCCTAGAGCTTATATTCTAGAATGAATTTTAAGTCAATTTTTATTTTTATATGAATGTATTATATAAAATCTCAATATTATGACTATAATATACTAATATTTGGAGATTGAATTCATGGAGAATTATGCCTCAGAATCATAATTCTTTGAAAGTGGATCACGTTCTTATAAGCAGCTCTCATATCAAATGTTTGTTAAAAATGTTTTTTTTTTCAGCATAAAAGTAATACAAATTAGATAATCTATGAGATAATGTCTAGGAATTTCATCTTTAGTTTATTTAAATGTTGGTTTAATTATAGATTGATCTCCTCTCAGTGGACAATTACAGTTTTGTGGTCTCAGAGCATGTTTTAAGTATATAATCTTCAGAAACATGAGGTCCCTGTGTTCTATAATTCAGTTCAGGGAACGTAGAGTTAATGATCACAAGGGAGATGGAAAAGCTCTGTGGGAAGAGGCTTATATATGTGTTTTTATGGGTGAGGGGAAAATATCTGTAAATGAGGGGAAAATTCCAAGCAGTTCCTGGAATCAGTTACTGCCTCCTCAGGGAGCCAGTGATGAGCTCAACTGGGCTAAGAAAAATCCGTGCAGATGTCAGCAGTGACTGCGTCCCAGCCTCCAGCCCCGCCAAAGTCCTCCCTTAGTCCTAAAGGACGAGTGAAGAGCACAAGGAACAGTCTGCAGATGAACTCCATGTGCATATTAATTTGTTACTCGCACCTGGGTACCCACAGCACAATCAGGATTAGAAAAATCAAGGTAATGAACTCAGAAAAGGAGAGTTGCAAAGCAAAAAAAAGCACTAGGCATGTCCTCCCAGCTGCAAAGAAGAAAGAAATTAATAAAGCAACACCTACTCTTGAGCTCTGGTAGCGTAGTGACTAAGGCACTTGACTGCTAACCAGAAGGCTGGTGGTTCAAACCCACCAGCCATTCCTCAGAAGGAATGTTGGGCAATTTACTTCTGTAGTGATACGGCTTCGGTAACCCAAGGAGGGTTTGCTATGAATCAAGTTCGACTCTGGCAAATAACAACAGCAACTCTTGAGGAGGCGGGCACATTGTTGAGCTGTATAATCAGATGCCCTTCTCCTGTTGCTGTAACCAATAATGTATTTCAATGATCAGTTCAATGAAGAAAGCCCCTAGGACAGCTGGGCTGTGATAAATTGGTTGGCCTTTAAAGTTTTCTGGCCCTGGCAGTTTTTTTTAGGCAAAAATAATCCAACTAGATGTAATTTTTAAAAAGAGACACTCAGATAATTTATTTCAGACTCAGGCACTGGATTCTCTGGGCCACATGAGTTCGTTCACCTTTGCTGGTCTCCTAACATCTAAAAACAGTTAAATTGCAACAAGAAACCATTTTTGACCAGTCAGATTGGCAGAATCAAATCTTGGTAACACGTAGTATATGTGAGGGTTGGGGTGAATGGGCACTCTCATCATACGTTGCTATTGAAAGTGTAAATGGTAGAACCTTTATGTAAGGCGATTTGCCAGTGTTCATCAGAATTAGAAATACACATTCCGTTTGACCTTGCTTCCGTTTTGGGAATTTATATTACAGATATATTCTCACTTGGATGAAATGACATGCATCATTGTTTATAGAAACAAAAAATTGGGAAGAAGTTAAATTTCAGTCAGCAGATGAAAGGGATTAAATTAAGTATTCTGTGCTCATACAGAGGTGCCTGGCCTCTGAAAAGCAAAAGCAGTTTTATATGGATTTATAAGATGCCAAAATATATTCTTAAGTGGAAAAAATAATATACACTGTACTGTACATAATATACTAATCCTTTTGTTTTAAATATATATTTTTTTCTAGAAGTATATATGAATAATAGTGGTAACCTCAAAAGGAGGGAGCTGCATGGTTGGAAGAGTATGGCAAGGAGGTTTACTTTTCATCAAATATTTTGTATATTTACATTTTTAATGTATGCTTGTTTTACCTATTTTAATTAAACTAATCAACTGACCAAATAAAGTATGTTGTTAGGCCTAGCAAAGATAGAAAATAGAGCACTTAAGGAGAAGACCAGCATAGTCATGTCTTTGTTGACAGAATTGACTTTGGCACATTCATACTTTTAATTAGGGCTGATACACATTTAGAGCATGTTTGGAAGAGCAATTTGCTTTGAATAGATCTTCTGTAATCTTATAATGGTAAAGTATTCTTAAGTTTTATTTTGATGATATAAAACTCAACCAGACAAAATCTAATTTCAAGAGAAAAATCTAATTTTTTTTTTTTTAAGAAAAAAAAAAGAGGACAAAAGGGAAATGGGTGTTATTAAGATGAAGAGAGGGAAGACTGTCAAGTGTTTGTCCTTGGAGATTGATTGAGTGCCCTCAGCTAAAGAAGATAGGAAGACAAAGACATTTTGAGAACTGTTGGGGAAACGAGGGAAGAGTTATTCTGATTGCTTGATTTTTTAATCGATCTGAGAATAGTTGGAAAAGCATGCTGATTTTTTTTTTAAAGCTCTCATTTCATTCTGGAAGGAACATGGAGTGAATCATAGAAAACTTCAGTTAAATCTTGGACTATGGAAGTGTGAATACTTAAAATACGAATAGTTAAAAGTGTGAATATTTATGATGATGCCACAGAATTCCCAGCCTTACTGAAATTTATCTTGTTGTGGTGGCGTAATTGAGTCTCTGACATTTTCACTGTAAAAGTACGTAAAATAGAAGTTGTAACGAAGATAGTTAAAACCATAATAGGACTCTATTTTCATGAATTCAGTGATGTTTTCTTTCATTTCTCTCAGAGTCAATGGGAAATTGGTAGCCCTGAAGGTGATCAGGCTACAGGAAGAAGAAGGTACACCTTTCACAGCTATCAGGGAAGGTAGGCATTTATTCATATTATCTTTGTCTTTGTGGTTGTATGATGTCCATTGCTATTTAAATATTATATACTTATGGATATACTGAGTTTAAAAATCACAAGATTTTATCTCTCATTGCAATGTGTACACTGAAATTTAAAAAACAATACCTCTTGTAATCATATGATATCATGTTAAATAAAAGAAGATCACTGCTCTGTTTACTCAGATATGGGGAAAAGTGCTGTGTATTGATGATGACAATATCAATAGGTAATCTAGGAATTTGTATGTGTGATTTTCTTTGCATAACTCCTAAGAAACATACTAATCTAACATTATTCTGTATTTTTGACTTTTAAGGAAAGTCCTTAAAGATAGGGTATTATACTATTTTATTAGTCATTAGCATTTCTTCTTTCTTATTTATCTGTTCCTATCCTTTATATCCACCATCTTCTGTCAGTTTGTCGTAAGATGGTGGCTTACATGTTGCTGTGAAGCTGGAAGCCATCACCCATGCTGGAGAGGGTTCAGTGGAGTTTCGAGACTAAGAAAAAGGATGGGGCCATCCACTTCTGAAAAATTGGCCACTAAAATCCTTATGAATAGCAGTAAAAATTATGTGATATATTAATGGAGAACTTTATGAATAGTAGTGAAACATTGCCCTGATATAGAGCTGGAAGACAAGCCCTCTTTGTTGGAAAAACCAAACTCACTGTCGTTGAGTCTGAACTGACTCACAGCGACCTCTCCTTTGGTTTCCAAGGCAGTATCCCTATGGAAGTAGATTGCCCAACCTTCCTTCCGAGGAATGGCTGGTGTGTTTGAACCACCAGCCTTCTGGTTAGCGGTCACATGCCTTAGACACTATGCCACATTCAGAACACACTGGGGCAGAGCTGCCTTGTAGAAGTAGAGGTAACCATAATGACATGGATTGAACAAAGCTTTCAGGGCCTTCATTTCCTGATGGGGCACAACTCAAAATGGGAAGAATCAGCTGCAAACATACATTAATAATGGGAATGTGGAATGTGTGAAGTATGAATCTAGGAAAATTGGAAGTTGTCAAAAATGAAATGGAACACCTAAACATCAATAGCCTAGGTGTTAGTGAGCTGAAATGGTCTGGTATTGACTGTTTTTAATCAGACATTATATAGTCTACTGTACTAGAAATGATAAACTGAAGAGGAATGGAATCATATTCATCATCAAAAAGAACATTTCAAGATCTGTCCTGAAATATAATGCTGCCAGCAATAGGATAATATTGATATACCTACAAAGAAAACCAGATAATACGACTATTTAAATTTATGCACAACCACTACAGCGAAAAATGAAGAAATTGAAGATTTTTACCAGCTTCTGCAGTCTGAAATTGACCAAACATGCAATCAAGATGTATTGATTATTACTGGTGATTGAAATGCAAAAGTTGGAAACAAAGAAGAATCATCTGTAGTTGAAAAATATGGCCCTGATGATAGAAATTACGCTGGAGACAGCATGATAGAATACCTTTTTCAACATAAACAGCAACTATACAAGTGGACCTTGCCAGATGGAATTGCAAGGAATGAAATCATGACCTTTCTCGGTGGAGAGAGGTCATGGAGAAAGTCAATGTCATTAGTCAAAAAAGGTCAGGAACTGACAATGGAACAGATCATCAATTGCTCATATTCAAGTTCAAGTTGAAGCTAAAGAAAATTCTAACTAGTCCACAAGAGCCAAAATACAATCTTAATTATATTCCTCCTGAATTTAGAGACTATTTGAGGAATAGATTTGATGCATTGAATAGCAATGAACAGATGTGTTGTGGGATAACATCAAGAAAGGAAGAAAAGATGTGAGAAGAGATTCTGAAACTTGTATGTAGAGTAGGTAAAGTGAATGGAAAAAATTATGAAATAAAAGAGCTGAACAGGAGATTTCAAAGGGCAGATTGAAAAGACAAAGTATTATAATGAAATATGCAATGTTCTGGAGTTAGAAAACGAAAAGGGAAGAACACACTCAGCATTTCTCAAGCCCAAAGAACTGAAGAAAAAAATTCAAGACTTGAATTGCAGTACTGAAGGATTCTAAGGACAAAATATTGAATGATGCAGGAAGAATCAAAAGAAGATGGAAGGAATACACAGAGTCACTTTACCAAAAAGGATTGGCATTCAACCATTTCAGAAGGTAGCATATGATTAGACACCAGTGGTTTTGAAGGAAGAAGTCCAAGCTGAGCTGAAGGAATTGGCAATAAACAAACCTCCAGGAATTGATGGAATACCCGTTGAGATATTTCAACAAATGGATGCAGTGCTGGAGGTGCTCACTTGTTTATGTGAGGAAATTTGGACGGCAGTTCCCTGGCCAACTGAATGGAAGAGAAAAATATTTGTGCCCATTTCAAAGAAAGCTGATCCAACAAAATGTGGAAATTATCCCATAATATCATTAATACCACACACAAGTAAAATTTTACTGAAGATAATTCAAAAATGGTTGCAGCAGTATATTGACAGGGAACTTCCAGAAATTCAAGCTGGATTCAGAAGAGGATGTTGAACAAGGGATATCATTGTTGATGTCAGATGATTTTGGCTGAAAGCAGAGTATGCCGGAAAGATGTTTACATATGTTTTATTGACTGTGAAAAGGCATTTGACTGTGTGGGTCATAACAAATTATGGATAACATTGCAAAGAACAGGAATTCCAGAACACTTAATTGTGCTCATGAGGAACCTGTGCATAGACCAGGAGACAGTCATTCAAACAGAATAAGGGGATGCTTCATGATTTAAAATCATTAAAGGTGTGCATCAGAGTTGTATCCTTTTCCCATACTTATTCAATCTATATAGTGAGCAAATAATCTGAGAAGCTGGGCAATATGAAGCAGAATGCAACATCAGGATTGGAGGAAGACTCATTAACAACCTGTGATATGCATATCACACAACCTTGCTTGCAGAAAGGGAAGAGAACTTGAAGCACTTACTAATAAAGATCAAAGACTGTAGTCTTCAGTATGGATTACACCTCACCATAAAGAAAACATAAATGTTCACAATTGAACCAGTAAGAAACATTGTGGTAAATGGAGAAAAGATTGAAGATGTGAAGGACTTCATTTTACTTGGATCCTCAGTCAACACCCATGGGAGCAGCAGTCAGGAAGTCAGACATCGTATTACACTGGGCAGACCTGCTGCAAAAGACCTCTTGAAAGGGTTGAAGAGGAAAGATGTCACTTTGAAGACTAATGTGTGCCTGACCCAAGCCATGGTATTTTCATTCTCCTCATATGCATGTGAAAGCTTACTAATGACTATGGAAGACTGAAGAAGAGTTTATGCCTTTGTATTGTGGTGTTGGCAAAGAAAACAGAAAGTGCCATGGGTTGTCAGGAGAACAAACTAATCTGTCTTAGAAAAGGTGCATCTGGAATGTTCCTTAGAGTGGAGAATGGCCAGACTTCATCTCACCTACTTTGGTCACATTGTCAGAAGGGACCATTCTCTGGAGAAGGATATTATGCTTGGTGGACGGTCAGCAAAAAGGAGGACGACCCTCAATGAATATTGACACAGTGGCTCCGACTATGGGCTCACGTACAGCCAGGATTGTGAGGATGGCACAGGACTGAGTAACATTTGGTTCTTTTGTATGTAAGGTCACTATGAGTTTGATTTGATTCCACAGCACTTAATAACAAAACAACAACAGTGGCATCCTTTATATCAAAAGGAGCCCTGGTGGTGCAGTGGTTAAAGCCCTCATATGCTAACCAAAAGTTTAGCAGTTTAAGCTCACCATCTGCTCTGTGGGAGAAATATGTAGCAATCTGCTTCTGTAAAGATGTACAGCTTTAATAACCCTATGGGGCAATTCTCCTCTGCCCTGTAGGGTCGCTGTGAATTGGAATTGACTCGATGGCACTGGGTTTAGTTAGGCTTTTGGATCCTTTATATTCTTTTCTGTTGTTTTTCTTAATTAATTGATTTATAGACACTTTATAATTTAGGGCCATTTATATCACAATGTATTTTTCCAGTTCTAAAAATTTATAATGTAGGTGTTTGTTATATATGTTTGTAATTTTTGAGGAATAAAATTGCTCTATCGAAGGTTGGGCAATCCTACTTCCGTAGTGATACTGCCTCGGAAACCCAAGGAGGGGTTGCTATGAGTCGGGTTTGACTCGACGGCACGTAACAACAACAACAACAATCTTCTGCTCTATAATTTCCTTCATAGAAAAGTGTCTGTACTCCAAGAGAAGAAAATATTTTCTTTTGTTAGCGGTACCTTACTAACAAGCATTTAGGAAATTTTAAGATTAGTAACTTTTCCTCTACAACATTTTTAAAAGTAAAAATTACTTTGACATAAGCGTTCAATTTACTTTTGCATTACTTATCACAAGATAAACATCAGTGGTTTACTGCAATAGTATTATCAACGTTTTATTGAACCTCACTGTTTTTATTTCTCACAACCATCACAAAATAGTAAATGATTTACATTTGCTGTTTTGGAGAAGTCTCCTTTCTGTTTCCACTTTCTCATCTCTCGTTCTCCTTTTCATTTCACTTCAGTTTAGTTTCTGTTTTTTCGGTTTAAAATCCCAAACCAAACTCACTGCTGTCGAGTCGGATCTGACTCATAGTGACCCCTCCTTGGGTTTCCAAGGCAGTATCACTACGGAAGTGGATCAGACTATTCTCATCTAGTTCTCTAGTGATTTCCTCATTGCCACATCAAGCAGACACCTGTTTTTCTTTATTTGGCGCTTAACCTTTTAGCAGATTGTACATGATTGAAACATTCTCTTCTGTGACACCAGCTTTTCCAAGTAGAA